AACACTCTGGAATTATATGCAATGAAACCTTACACCTTTTTTTGAAACATTTCACCAAGAATAGTTTTTTTCAGATCTGATGCTCAATCCTTCTCAGAAAAATACTGATAATTATTTTAGAAACATTTTCTGTGGACGATTGCTGGACCAGATTCATCATATTCCTGTTTGGAGATCCACATCTGTTGGAAGGTTGAGAGAGAAGCCAAGATAGAACCACCAATCCATACAGAGTATTTTCTCTCAGGTGGAGCGATGATTTTAATTTTCATGGTTGGTGGGGCTAAGGCTGTGATTTCTTTCTGCATTCTGTCAGCAATACCTGGGTACATGGTAGATCCTCCAGATAATACAGTGTTGGCATACAAATCTTTTCTGATATCAACATCACATTTCATGATGGAGTTGTAGGTGGTTTCATGGATACCAGCAGATTCCATACCCAAGAAAGATGGTTGGAACATGGCTTCTGGGCATCGGAATCGTTCGTTACCAATAGTGATGACTTGACCATCGGGTAGTTCGTATGATTTTTCCAAGGATGATGAAGATGCAGCAGTTTGCATTTCCTGTTCGAAATCCAAAGCAACATAACATAATTTTTCTTTGATGTCTCTGACGATTTCTCTTTCAGCTGTTGTGGTGAAGGAGTAACCTCTTTCTGTCAAAATTTTCATCAAGTAGTCGGTCAAATCTCGACCAGCCAAATCCAAACGGATGATGGCATGAGGAAGAGCATAACCTTCATAAATAGGTACTGTGTGACTAACACCATCTCCAGAATCCATGACGATACCAGTGGTACGACCAGAGGCATATAGGGACAATACAGCTTGGATAGCTACATACATAGCTGGTGAATTGAAGGTTTCAAACATAATTTGGGTCATCTTTTCTCTGTTGGCTTTAGGATTGAGTGGAGCCTCTGTAAGGAGGACAGGGTGTTCTTCTGGGGCAACTCGAAGTTCATTGTAGAAAGTGTGATGCCAGATTTTCTCCATATCATCCCAGTTGGTAACAATACCATGTTCAATTGGGTATTTTAAGGTGAGGATACCTCTCTTAGATTGAGCTTCATCTCCTACATAGCTGTCTTTCTGTCCCATACCAACCATAACACCCTGGAAAATACAAAGATAACAAAATTAAGGACTAAGAAAGAAAATGATGTTGCATTTAAGACATAGATAAAAAGCTTTTTAAATTGTTCTTTACTGGCAATTAATTCAAAGGTAAATTATAATTAAAATAAGTTAACAAACAGCAATTTGTTTAGAGCTGGTAAAAGCAAACCGGTCAGATATTGCCGATCACGTGTACACATTCCGCGTGTTCACCAAAGCGCAATTGATTTTTTTTTTGTTCTACTTCCATGTTCTAGAATATTTTACATTCTTGTCATAGAACATTAGTCAGGCAATAAATTTAGTAGATCATTGTATCTCCAAGATTTTAATTGATGGTGACCGCAACAAAACAAAACGTCATTGGTCGGTTTAACCATTTGGTTTTATTATTTTGTATCATCTACATGCTCTCTGCAATTCTAAGATATGTAAGAGATAGGCCTACGCCTCCAATGCTCAAGACAACACCCAAAGAATTTAAACTAGGCAACAATCGTGTAGTCACTTTTAACAAAATTCAAATATCGTTTCAGTTTTTGGCCCACAATGTTCCCCTTCATAATTTTAAAATGTTAGTACATCACACCAAAAATATTTCAAAAATTTATAAAATTTCAATTTACCTGATGTCTGGGTCTTCCAACAATTGAGGGGAAAACAGCTCGAGGGGCATCGTCTCCAGCAAAACCTGCTTTACACATACCAGATCCATTGTCAATAACCAAAGCGGCTACTTCGTCATCCATGGTGAAAGTTAATTGTTAAAAAAAAATAATATGATATGTCCGTTCTCTCCAGTCACAACTGTTCGAATGACTCACTACAAGTATAACTGGGTATTATAGAATTGTTCATCCTGTGTCTTTTGTTAGACGACATATAATAACCCCAGCTAGCGTTTAACTGGTCCAACACGATATGGCTTGGTGATTTCTCATCGCTTGAGTGAAAAATACCATATATGGTAATCCTTGGTAGCTTTTTCCTAGAATTCGCCATTGATTTCGTTGAATCATGAATATTTATGAGCTGACAAGCTCTACAATACAGTAAAATCAATATATAATGTCGTCTGCTCTCGAGTAATTTAAAGGGTAGTAATGAAACACCGGTTACTTTATGGAAATCGAGATGTAACACAGTCCCCGACCAAAACGCCTCAATATCAAGCCCTTAAATAACGATTGTTAGGCCCGTTTAACGTAATAACACCTGTAAATTAGGATTTCATATACCTCAATATACTTCATTATTATTATAAGCTCACTGGGGTTTCAGATTACCGTGGAGTGAAAGAGAGAGAGAGAGAGACAGAGAGACAGAGACAGAGACAGAGACACAGAGAGAGACACAGAGAGAGACACAGAGAGAGAGAGTACATTTTTCTTCTCTAACAATCTCCATGTGTCAGTGAATAAAATAACCTAGAATAACGTTCGCCAGACGCTAATCGAAACCGGTTTGTCACCGACTAAGTGACCTATAAAACTGACATAAGAGAGGACAAATTTCACAAAAAAATGTATTGTAGGTTCCCGATACAATCCCAAATTACGAAATTGACGAATGGCTGGAGGCCGGATTCCAGTTAGCTCTTTCACTTGAAAAAAAAATACTACTTTCCATTAACCCCACTCAATAGTACGGAAAGTAATAATGAGTGTATTAGTATTGGATACTAAGGTGGATAAAGGTGTCTCGGGGTAAGGGACACAACTCCATTATATGATATCTCTTTTCCAAATGCTTTAGTCGAAAATGTTAATAAAATGAAGCAGCATAAAATATTTTTTTTCCAGATGATAAAGCTGAACCAGCTATCCGTAATACTTTTTTTACAGATATTTGTAAAATATAATTATCAATGTTGATATTAACCAAGGTCAAATTATGAAAAACGTCGATCTTTGTGTCTT